GAAAATTATACACTTGATATTCAAAACCATTAGGTGCCATGATATTTTTTTTTGTCCCCCTTCCGTTCAATCATGTGTCTGATTCTCAGAGACTACTTGGAGAAATCCCTGCAGTTTTCCAGTTGTCAGAAGTGGTTTGTCATTGCCTCCTTCCTAGGGCTCAGAGAAAGGGACTGGCCTAAGACCAACAAGTTGGCTTTGTGCATAAGACGGAGCTAGAATTCACAATCTCCCAATTTCTAGGCAGATGCCTTAATCCAGACATGTCAAACTCACGATGTCACGTGATGTTGCACAACGTATCGGGACGGTTTTGCCATTGCCGGCAATGGGGTGGGCCCGGCTTCCAGATGATGCATGCGGCCTATGGGCCGGCAGTTTGACACCCCTGCCTTAATCACTGCATCAAACCACTGTATGAACTTACAGGAACATATTGCCTTGATGATTCATCTATTGCAGAGGTCCCCAACTTTTGGGGCACCAGGGGCCTGTTCCGTGGAGAGAGGTTTTTCCGTGGACCGGAGAGTGCGTGGTTTTGTGTGCTGCCTGCATCTCACGGATGGGGCTTTGCTTGTTTGTGCAGACCGGTTGCTGGCATGCCACGGGCTGGTATTGGTCCACGAACTAGGGTTTGGGGTCCCCTGATCTATTATCTTGGCATTTGGGGGCAAAATAATTGCTTAGGACACACCTAATACCATTCGGACCAAATCGGTAAGAAAGGGCTTAAAACAGTGGTTCTCAACCTTTTTAATGCCGTGACCCCAACCGGTCGTAAGTCGAGGACTAAACCGGTCGTAAGTCGAGGACTAAACCGGTCGTAAGTCGAGCACTAAACCGGTCGTAAGTCGAGGACTACCCAACCGGTCGTAGGTCGAGGACTTTCCCTGCCCGGGAGTGCCGTGCATGCATGGTTCCGCCCCCTGCGCCGGCCGAGGGGTAGCTGGCAAGCGGCAGAGACAGAGCAGGCCGACCACCAGCTGGCCCAGCCCAAGGGAGGTAAGGCACCCGCCGGAAAAGGGGAAAAAATGGTGGACAAAAAAATGGCGGACAAAAAAAATGGCGGACAGCCTTGCTTGGCGACCCCCGTGAAATGGTCGATCGACCCCAAATGGGGTCCCGACCCACAGGTTGAGAACCACTGGCTTAAAAGAACAAGGAAAAGGTGAGCTACAGATTTTCTGATGATAATTTGAAGAATCACAAGGCACACTGTGCACACAAATAGATTGCAGATTTTCATCTGCAGCCCAACCATTGTTGTGATGATCCTTTTCTCTCTTTCCCTTTCTCTCTCTCTTTCTCTCTCTCTCTCTCTCTCTCTCTGCATTAAAGTATGATAAAGGCCCTAGAGAAATTAATGAGACTTAATGGTTTCATCCACTTTCATCATTGTTAAAATAGAGAATATCAGAAAATGTGATACAATACAAAAGTACGATGCAGGTGAAATTCCGAAGTTGTACTCCCAACAATTCCTCCCCCCAATGGATTCAGTATGAAATCCATGGAAGGAATAGTGGCGGATGGGAAGGAAAGTTCATTGTCACTTTTGCTATTTGGATTTGATCAGCTGGATTTTACCAGTTTAACACCAAACTTGAGTTTTCACCCACCAGCAAGTTGAAGGGCTCTTAAGACTTAACTCAAGAAGGATAATTTCTTCTTCTTCTTAAAGAATATTTGGTCTATTTCCAAAATATATATGACATAGACATTGGAAATTCTAAATGCTTAGCATTTAGAGTAGGCAACCTTGGCTTTTTTATGACTCGTGGACTTCAACTCCCAGAATTCCTGAGCCTGCATGGCTCAGCATGGAAACCTCTCCCTTTCCCCTCAGCATGGCTGGCTCAGGAATTCTGGCAGTTGAAGTCCACAAGTCATAAAGTGGCCTAGGCCAGAGGTAGGTAACCTTGGCTCTTTTATGACTCGTGGACTTCAACTCCCAGAATTCCTGAGCCTGCATGGCTCAGCATGGAAACCTCTCCCTTTCCCCTCAGCGTGGCTGGCTCAGGAATTCTGGGAGTTGAAGTCCACGAGTCATAGAAGAGCCAAGGTTGCCTACCCCTGGCTTAGCTGGTCTCAGTGGGACACCATTATACACTTTTTCCTCAGTGTTGTTTATACCATCTCCATCAAGTCTGCTACTATTATGTTTAGATCAGCCCATTTCACACAGTGTAACCCAGAGAGTCATGTCAGAACTTTTGAACCGGGAACCCAAAATCAAGGATGCATTGATGTAAAATACCAAAATAAATTTCTTTTCTTTTTCTTTTCTTTTTTTTTTAAAGTTAGTATTTTAGTGGCGGCAAAAACTAAAAGAAAAAAAAAGACAATCAATGGCTTGATATAGTTTGAAATCTGCCAGCCGTAGGAGATGACCAGCTGAAATTGAGGGAGGGGTCAAGCTCGTCATCAGTCATCCTTTACACCCGCAAGAGATATAAGTCCAGACCTCCTTGAATTTTGTTGACTCTTATTTATCACCAATTTGCCTTAATAGTTAGCAGCTCAGATTCTTGTTTAGGGAATAAACTTATACTCATTTGAACAACCCTGGTGTCCAATTTCTTGCACCTGACACCAGCCAGCAATAAAATTCTCATTCCATTTAAGGAAATGGAAGAAATTATACCATGTATTTAATATAGAATATTTTTTTTCCTTTTTTCTATGTATTGTACAATTTGATTACAACATAAAAATGAAGAACATTAACTTTCTGCCTGCGTCACACCCATCCGTCCGTCCGTCCATCCATCCATCCAGCCACAGCCTAAGCATTCTATTGTGCTTATACAAATGTCATTCAAAGAAAATGTTACTTATATGCTTTTATAAGAATCCAATGAAGAACAACATATAGGAAAGTGTGTGCAAGAGAAAGTGAGCAAAAGTACAATGACTAAAAACTGTAATAATGGAGGGTGACAGGAGGAACACCACGGTGTACTATGAGACACCAACACATTTTGTAGCCCACAATGCTAAAAGAACCACGAATGCATTAAGACCATTGTGGGCCCTAAGCACATTTATTTTTGGACTAATATCTCCTTAGGGTTATAAAAATATTCCCTAGATCTATAGGCCTCAAGAAGTCACAGAGAATAGCATAATAAAGTAGTAATGGTAACTTAAAATATATTTAATTTCAGGATATAGGAGTTTGGTTTTTCTGTTACTTTTCAGATTTTTTGATTGAGCCTAATATATTTCCACTGGCCCTAGACGTTTTGCCTATTATGCCTAAGTGAAAATATGATCATTAAGAAAAGTGTGTCAAAGTATTAGGGTAATCTCAGAGTTCATACATGAGGGTGTGATCCAAGTAGGCTGATGGGCGCCGATGTGAACGAATGAATACGCTTGATAAAAGAACAAGGACTTTCCAGGTGTCAGTTCAAGTGTAATTTTTGTTTTTTTTGTTATTAAACATGGGTTGCGACAGAAGCTTCTACAAGGACTTGCACACAACCATGACGGATGGATGGATTTCGTCTGCCGTTCAGTTAGCTCCATCAACTCACTCAAGACACATTTTGAACAGATTATGTACTGTAAAACTTGGGAGACCATACATTTAACAGGAGATTTTGCTCTGGAGGCTCCACATTCTGTATGGAAAAGGGGCGGGGGAAAAAAAGAGGAGAGAACAAAACTCATAGAGTTTGACAGCTACGGAGGCAACACTTGCCATTTACATTATAAGCCCAAATATTATTATTATTATTTTTTTTTTGCAACACAACTATATATTAATTTAATAAAATACACAATATAGCTCTTATACACTCAACAATTTGGCTCAAATGCACTGAATCTGCAATAAATCAAGAAAAAAATATGTCATTTGATGTAAACACATTGAATCTTCTTACATTTGCACATTTAAATGATTTGGGTGAAGGTCTGGAATCTCGGCACTCGAGCTAGTTTACTGTCCATAAATGAATTACAACAGGTGTTAATCACGTTAATTTGTCTCCGCTCTTATTTCCCGTGTAACGGCAATTAAAGCGGCCTTCTCATATTGTGCCTCAGGTATAAAGCATAGTTACCTCAATTCTTGCTAGACACTCCTTCCCTTTCTTTCCTTATCACATTAATTCATTTATGCATGTGCAGGACAAACATAGACTCGATCATTTTACATTTAACTTTAATATGATATGAGCCGTGTTACTATTGATCAGGATAATTTCGCTGAATGAAGTTATGGAATGCATTTGGAGGGGTTTTCCATAATTATTTTTTTTTCCTTTTCATTTCTTTCTTTCTCTTTTAAGGATGTGGCAGATGCCTTTATACAGAAATGCTTATCAGAAATGAATGTTAATGCTTTGTGTACTTGGTTGTCTGACTACAAGAACATTTGTTTGTATGTTTATCGGATTTCTGATGTGGGATTTCCCCTAGAAATCTCTAATGACTGTTGTAAACTTATCACACAACTATCCCACCCTGATTTTTATGGGGTCTACAGGTAAACAGTGGAGTCAACATTAACTATCGGTCCTAAAAAATCTGATTCCATTTATCTTACTCCTTTCTCTTCGATTGTCAAAGTGGTCCCAATCTTTCTTTCTTTCTTTCTTTCTTTCTTTCTTTCTTTCTTTCTTTCTTTCTTTCTTTCTTTCTTTCTTTCTTTCTTTCTTTCTTTCTTCCTTCCTTCCTTCCTTCCTTCCTTCCTTCCTTCCTCCCTTTTTCTTTTTCTTTTTTTCTTTTTTAAAAAAACATACACCATATTGTTCTAATGGAAGTTTGGTAAAAAAAAACAAAAAACGAAACCAGTGTAATCTGAAAAAAAAGAGAAAAGAAAAAAGAAGAAAGAGCAGTGAAACAAACAAACTGGAGGGCACTTCAGATGTTCACTAAAAGCCTTAAAGCAGCATTGGTCTTTTGTTCATCCCTGTATAAATTTTTAGAACCAGGGGAGATTTATTTTTTTCTTTTTTTTTTTAACTTTTTTTAAATATATAATTCAGCAGAAGAAGCAAATCAATGCCAGACTGTCTTTTTGTTTGTTTGTTTGTTTCTGTTTTGCTTCATTTTCTCACAGCCACGGGGTCGTTTGCCCGACAGTCCTGCAAAAGCTTGTCGATCTCCCGCACCACTTCCTCCGCGTCGACGGACTCTCTCCCTAGTTCCCTGTTCGAACGGTCTATCTGTTCCAAGACAGAGTCCATATCAGCGGAGTCTCGGCTGACCCGGGAATGCACCTCGGCAAAGACCCTGGCCATCTGATCAGACGCCATGTAGGCAGCGTCTCTGGACTGTTTACTAGGTGACAGGTACTGACTGTTGGGTTCAGCCAAGGCCCCCGTTTTGACTTCACAACCATCCAGGGGTCCTTTCGTCGAAGGCTCGACGCAGGTCTTGGTTGGGCTGCTTGATGCTGAGGGGACCTCCTGGAGGAGAGGGCTCAGGGCACGTTTGGCTTTGAGATAAGGTTTCACGTTGGCAATGAGAATGGTGTGCTCTCGCTTGTCCTTCCCAAATGTACAAAAGGTCTTTTTCCCCGTGGGGTTCACAGTTTCGTAAGTCTCAGTCTCGACATTAGCTTCCACCGTGGGCACAAAGAGATTTGTTCGGTAGTCGGCGTTGTCTGCTTGGTTAGAGGCAGGGAACTGGGGCATCCAACATCTGTCAGAATGGCCAAGCACTCGGCATTCATCGGTGCAGTTAATGCATTCCTCTTGTTCTGCAAAACAAAGGAGAAACAACAAGGCTTTTAAAGTCATTTAATCAGCTGCCTTGATCTGGTCCCAGTCTGTTCGTTCAATGTGCAAGGCTTCCTGGGTGCAAACAGAAATTATAATCAAAACTTTTCAGGAAGGTGTCAGAAACCAATAGGTTGAGGGGCTTGGTTTATTGGAGCTCCTATCAAAGCATAACAGTGGTTGCATCACTCAATGGTTGTATCGCTTCAATAAACACTTGGTTTATTGGAGCTACCATCAAAGCACAACAGTGGTTGTATCACTCAGTGGTTGTATCGCTTCAATAAATGCTTGGTTTATTGGAACTACCATCAAAGCACAACAGCGGTTGTATCACTCAGTGGTTGTATGACTTCAATAAATGCTTGGTTTATTGAAACTACCATTAAAGCACAATGGTGGTTGTATCACTCCATTAAACGCTTGGTTTATTGAAGCTAATATCAAAGCACAACAGTGGTTGTGTCACTCAGTTGTTGTGTCACGTCAATATACGCTTGGTAGTACTTCCGGTTAGGCATCGTTGTGTGACGGACGCAGGAAGATGGGGGTCCGTCTTCCACGTTCGATTTCACCCCGCTGAGGGTCCTAAAAAGGGTCAAAAGTTGCCCCGGAGAGGTGACGAAGAAAGAAGGGACCCCCGTTGATTGCAAAATGGTGGCAGCCCTTCTGCTGGATCTGAGGAAGCCCTCCAAACTGGCTGGGATAAGATTGGCTACATTCATGTGGTCAGTTAGAAGCTGCTGACAACCGAAGATAAGCACTAACTAGCAATTTTTGAGCAACGTGGATGGAACTGGGTGACACTTTATCCTCTTTTTATGACCTTAACCCAAAGCAAAGAATCTTCCCCAATGCATTAACAGAGGGATAGAATGAAGATCACGTGAAGTGCTAATACCACTTTACAATGCCTTGGTAAGGCCACACTTGGAATACTGCATCCAGTTTTGGTCACCACAATGTAAAAAAACATGTTGAGACTCTACAAAGAGTACAGAGAAGAGCAACAAAGATGATCAGGGGACTGGAGGCTAAAACATATAAGGAACAGTTGCTGGAATTGGGTATGAGAAGGATGAAGGGTGACATGATAGCAGTCTTCCAATATCTCAGGGGCTGCCCCAAAGAAGAGGGAGTCAAGCTATTCTCCAAGGCGCCTGAAGGCAGGATAAGAAGCAACAAATGGAAACTAATCAAGGAGAGAAGCAACCTAGAACTAAGGAGAAACTTCCTGACAGTTAGAACAATTAACCAGTGGAACAGCCTGCCTCCAGAAGCTGTGAATGCTCCAACACTGGAAGTTTTTAAGAAGAGACTGGACAACCATTTGTCTGAAATGGTGTAGGGTTCCTGCCTGAGCAGGGGATTGGACTAGATGACCTCCAAGGTCCCTTCCAACTTTATTATTATTATTATTATTATTATTATTATTATTATTATTATTATTATTATTATTATTATTATTATTATTATTATCATCATCATCATCATCATCATCATCATCTTCATCTTCATCTTCATCATTATTATTACTATTATTATTTACTTACATACTAATCTTATAGGCTGCTCTACTCATAGTAGATTCTTATATTCAATACAGCTGTTGGATTAAAATCATATCTAAAATGCCCCAGGCAGTACTGGCAATCAACTGACATATACAGTAGACATTATCTTACAGGGAGAAACAAGTATCAAGTCCTGAAGGCACACTGAAAGATGATAGATTTTTGAAAACTCAAGAAGATGGAGGTAAACCAATGTTTTTTTCTAGATTGAGAAGACCCTACTCTGTGGATTCTGTAAATGGCAGCCTCTAAGAAGCAAGGCCTAGAAAGACACCTTTCTTAGATTGCAGGCAGAAAGCCATGGGATCATACATTCCTTGGATCAAACTCAAGAGTGTAGTAACCTGATCATACGTCAATGTAGTTTCCAAGAGAACAGTATAGATCAGGAGTCTCCACCCTTGGTAGCTTTACAATTTGTAGACTTGTAGACTTCAACTCTCAGAGGAATTGAAGTCTACAAGTTGGCTGAGGAATTCTGGGAGTTGAAGCCCACAATTTGTAAAGTTGCCAAGGTTTGAGACACCTGGTGTGGATCATTGTCCTCTGGGATAACAATGATTATTATAATGAGGATTAATTTTCCTAACCTACATCTCCTGGATTTTCTGGTGGTCTCCTAAGCATGATACAGCTTTTGAGGAGATCATCTTGGTGTAGCCACCTGCTGTGACTTAGTTCCATCAGGTTTTAATTCATTCTTATGATGTAATCTAAAATCCTGCCTTTGATGTCAAAACCTGCACACAGTTCCTGGAATGGGCTGGCCCAGTTTCTAAAATGAGATTGTTATAATGATCATTTAGAGAATGTTGTTCATGACATCTCTAAACAGGCTACTACTTATAATGATAGGTATTCCATTCATTGTGTGAATATAATAACCTTTGAAGAGAAGTACTTCATTAACTGTTCTTGCCATTATTTTGAGCAGAAATAAGCAGAGTGCCTGGAAATAGGATAGGTTCGAAGGAAACGAACACATAGGACATTCTTCCTAATGGTGTGAATTGTGCAAATCAATCTTCACATTGTTTTTTGGCACCAGCCCTCCCGTTCCCAAAGAGTAGAAAAGCTAGTTACACAATCTATATTTTTGTTGAAAACAGCAATAAATGCCTCTTTTGACAAGCTCACATTTAATACACAGTGGCAGAAAAATCCTTCCCTGTGTTATTATCGGCACAAAGTAATCTCATATTATTACATGACAGTCATCCAGCAAAACAATCCCAATTTAACAGGGATCTTCTGGGTGAAATTCAGCTTGCTTAATTTGTGTGAACCATTCCTACTTCTGCAGAATAAGCCACTGTTTGGTTATTGGATCTGCTGAGGAAAGATAAATCTTTGGAGTCTCTTAGCTAATCTTCATTGTTTTTTCAGGTTATATTCTCTGATCAGAGACTGAAAGGTCTCTGAGGCAGATGATGATAATGATAATAATGATAATAATGATGATAATGATAACAACAACAACAACAACGATGATGATGATGATGATGATGGAAGGGATCTTAGAGGTCTTCTAGTCCAACCCTCTGCTCAGGCAGGAAACTCTATACCATTTCAGACAGATGGCTGTCCAGTCTCTTCTTAAAAACTTCCAGTGTTGGAGCATTCACCACTTCTGGAGGCAGGTTGTTCCACTGATTAATTGCTCTAACTGTCAGGAAATTTCTCCTTAGTTCTAGGTTGCTTCTTTCCTTGATTAGTTTCCATCCGTTGCTTCTTGTCCTGCCTTCAGGCACGTTGGAGAATAGCTTGACTCCCTCTTCTTTGGGGCAGCCCCTGAGATATTGGAGCACTGCTATCATGTCCCCCCTTGTCCTTCTCTTCATTAAACTTGACATACCCAATTCCAGCAACCCTTTATATGTTCTAGCCTCCTTGTTGCTGTTCTCTGCACTCTTTCTAGAGTCTCAACATCTTTTTTACATCGTGTTGACCCAAACTGGATGCCATATTCCAAGTGTGGCCTTACCAAGGCGTTGTAAAGTGGTATTAACACTTCACATGATCTTGATTCTATCCCTCTGTTAATGCAGCCTAGCACTGTGTTGGCTTTTTTTGGCAGCTGCAGCACACTGCTGGCTCATGTTTAGGCGATTGTCCACTAGGACTCCGAGATCCCTCTCACAGTTGCTACTATTGAGCAAAGTACCCCCTATACTATACCTGGCATTTGTAAATATAAATGTAAATGAATATTTTTTTTCAGGAGAGACATAAACATGTTCCCTGTTCCGATAATCAAGAGATTTTAATATAATTGCATCCATTGGTGGGATTCAAATACGTGAACAATCGGTTCTCTGAATGAATGATGCTTCTGGAAGTCCATTCTGGGCCTGGGCAATAAAAAAATTAGCTACCAGTTCTGCCGAAGTGGTACGAACCGGCTGAATCCCACCACTGGTTGCATTTTACTCAATGTACTGTAAAACCTGGCTTTAAGCTATTGGTTTATCAATTCCATTCCCACAAGCCTTTTTTGATTCCCTTTATTGGACATACGGTGTAACCTGGGAACTGGATTTCCTGAAAATCAATAAGGCACAACATGAAAAGACACTTCACTAAGTATGTGAAAGCATTTGTGGGGCGGGTGGGAGAGGAGAGATTCAAAAGAGTCCAAATTCAATTAAATGAAGACCTATTTATTTTCAATAGGAACTTTTAAGCCCATATGTACTCAAGCCCATGTTCCCTTCTAACAAATGGTTTTTCAAAGTGCTTGCAATATTGACTGTACCACATTCTCTCTCTAAATGTGCAGGATGTTTATAGCTTGCATTCTGTTTATGCTGATATTTGTCTGTTGGTTTTTTTTATTCAATCTTTCTGCTCGCAGGATGTTCATATACTTGGTCCAGAAACAGCCTTTTAACAATTTATAAAGGTATAAAATGCAGGCGTAAACTGGGTTTTTTTTTATTATCAGATGCCTATTGCCACTTTTTCCATGAACAAAAGAAATGTTTTCTTGCTACTTCACTGGGATTCTTCTTTCTTTCTTTCTTTCTTTCTTTCTTTCTTTCTTTCTTTCTTTCTTTCTTTCTTTCTTTCTTTCTTTCTTTCTTTCTTTCTTTCTTTTTTTCTTCCTTCCTTCCTTCCTTCCTTCCTTCTCTTCCTTCCTCCCTCCCTCCTTCCTTCCTTTCCTTCCTTCCTTCCTCCCTCCCGCCTCCCTCCCTCCCTCCCTCCCTCCCTCCCTCCTTCCTTCCTTCCTTCCTTCCTTCCTTCCTTTCTCCCTCCTGCCTCCCTGCCTGCCTCCCTCCCTCCCTCCTTCCTTCCTTTCTCCCTCCCTCCTTCCCCCCCCCCTTCCTCCTTCATTCCTTCATCCCTCCCTCCATCCACAACTCAGATTAACTAAGTGTGGACTCTTGTTGAAGGGTATATTTATGTTT